CATGAGAACAACGGACAGGGCTCACTTAAGGTAAAGACTGACCTCGCTGAAGGAGGCTGCAGGCCTGGGACGGGACTACACCGTGGCCCGCCGGTCAGAAATTTATGATCGGATCTCCTTCCTGCGTGGTTCCTTTCAGCCACCGAGCTCGCCAAGCCTGCCACGTGGCCCCCTGGGCTTGTCAGGGTTATCCCTTAGGCCTTCCCCGTGTGCACTCGATGTCTGTGCCGCTTGATATATGCTTCACTTCTCACAACAACCCTGCAAGGAATATATATATTTTATCTCCATCTTACAGATTCAAGAAAGCTCAGAGAGGTTAAGTGATTTGCCCAAAGCCACACAGCAAGTTAGTGGCCATGCTGGGGGTATAAACCTAGGTGACTCGGAGTCTAGAAATGAGATGGAAGGCATAAATCTGTGAAATATGGTAATTTTTTAAAGATTTTATTTATTTATTTTTTAGAGAGGGAAGGGAGGGAGAAAGAGAGAGAGAGAGAGAGAAACATCAATGTGCAGTTGCTGGGGGTCATGGCCTGCAACCCAGGCATGTACCCTGACTGGGAATCGAACCTGCGACACTTTGGTTCGCAGCCTGCGCTCAATCCACTGAGCTACACCAGCCAGGGCTAAAATATGGTAGTTTAATACAAGGCCTGGCAGGACTTTATAATGGAACAGACATAGGGAGCGAAAAAAGAGCGAGAGACATAACATGCTGGAGAAAACTGAGGAATTTTGGAGAGTGAGTGAGTGTGGGTGGTGAGTCGCAGGAAGATAATGAAAATATGCTTTCCATCATACTGAGTCTGGGGTGGCAACGCTGTCACATGGACAGATGGAAATACTGGGCTGGGGGTCAGGAAGGGAGATCGGGATTTGAGGGCTGACCAAATGGTCAAAGAGACCGAGATGACAGAAGGCTGCCACAAACATTCAGAATTTCTTCCTCCTCACTCCATTTCCTGAGGAAGGAAGGAGAGTTGGGGGGCCACCAAAAATAAGCTCCCCGAGTAAAGCTCTGGTTGGCAGGCAGCCAGGTGAGCCTGGGCAGAAGCCAGCAGGGGAGCAGCTGCAGCCCACCTGGCTCCCTGGTGGGGCGCTGGCGCTCGCCTCGGATGATTGGCAGCAGGGGCCCGGGAAGCACGGAGCAATGGGATGGTGACTGGCGGGGTAGATCGTGCTCAAGGTGAGAGGCACGGCTGCCGGCTCCAGAGCGCAGGACCGTGGAACTCCTCACAGTTACCCTGTTTATCCTTCGCCTGGCGAGACAGAGCTTTGTCATGGGTTGGTGATGGAGCTGGCATTTGGGATTTCAGCCTCTTTTTTGTTTTTCCTAACGAGATCCAGGAGAGACTGGGATGAACCAAACTCTCTTGCTTTTCCCTTTTGCAATGAATTGGTATGGCTCTGGGCTGCAGTTACAACCCTGTAATTGCAGCCACATTGCAAAACAGACCCCAGAAGAAACTGGGAACACAGGATGTGTCCAGCTGAGACATCCTCTTGGTTCACCCACGTCAGGGCGTCCGTCAGCGGTCCCTCAGACTGCCCTCAAACGCAGGGCTCTTGCACAGGTCATTCCTCTGCCGGGAAGGCTGCCTCCCTTTTTATCCTCCACGGTTTGGTGGGCGAAATGTCACTCCCGGCTCAGGTGACCTCCCAAAGGCCCTGTCTTCAGACACCACCGTACTGAGGGTTGGGTCAGGGTTAACAGAGTCCACAGTACTAAATATACATGTTCACAGCAACCTTATTCATAAGTCTAACACAAGGTAGAGACAGCCTTCATGCCCATGGACAGGCAAATGGGTACACTAAAGAAAGTATATACATAAAATGGAATATTATCCAGTTTTAAAAAGGAATGGATTTTGATACTTGCTCTAATGTGGATGAACCTTGAAGACAGTATACTGATTGAAATAAACCAGACACAGAGGAACAAATACTGTGTGATTCTACTTCTGTGAGGTCCCAGGAGTACTTACGTTCATAGAGACAGAAAATAAAATGGTGATTGTTAGGGGCTGGGGGTCGGGTAGAGAAAGAGGGGAGTTTGTGTTTAATAGGTACAGGGTTTCAGTTTGGGGAGGTGGAAAAATTCTGGAGATAGGTAATGGTGATGGCTGCATAATAATATGAATGTACTTAATGCCACTGAATTGTGCAGTTAAAATTAAGCCCTGGCTGGCGTAGCTCAGTGGATTGAGCACGGGCTGCAAACCAAAGTGTCGAAGGTTCGATCCCCAGTCAGGGTACATGCCTTGGTTGCAGGCCATGACCCCCAGCAACCGCACATTGATGTTTCTCTCTCTCTCTTTCTCCCTCCCTTCCCTCTCTAAAAATAAATAGATAAAATCTTAAAAATAAAAAGAAAGAAAATAGTTAAAATTGCCCTGGCTGCTGTGGCTCAGTAGATTGAGTGTTGGCCTGTGAACCAAATGGTCTCTGGTTCACTTCCCAGTCAGGGCACATGCCTGGGTTGCAGGCCAAGTCCCCAGTTGAGGGCATGAGAGAGGCAACCACACATTGATGTTTCTCCCTCCCTTCCCCTCAATAAATAAAATCTTTTTAAAAAATTCTTAAAATGGTAAATTTTATGTTTGTATAGATATCTTTTTATTGTGGTAAAATACAAACAATATAAAATTTAATCCCTTATTTTTAAATGCATAGTTCAGTTGCTATGTATATTTTACAGAGAACATAAACAGAATGGAAACCGATGATCCAGGAAACAGACCAAAACACTGTGGCTAATGCCTTTGCCTGGTGCTCTGGCCGTTATTTCTCTAGGGGGAGTCAGTGTGCACAAGGCTTCCCTTGCATGCGTTTGGGAGGTCATAAGGCCCTCGGCTGTGCAACCTTTCTAGCACAGGGGATTTTAGGGACATAACCCTCACAGACGGAGAGGAAATATTTCCCGGGAAGCAGACGAGGGAGCCATATGTGAGCACTCCCTGTGTTTGGGGATGATCTGAGGGGTCCTCATGGGAGGGACAGTATTTGTTACAGGAGGGAAGGGAGAAAAAAGCAAAGGGATCGATTGCATGGTCTTCACCGCCTTCTTGCACTCTCTCTCGAGCTCAGGGTGGCCCACACAGTTCCCCAAAGTGCCCTCAATCCAGAGCCCCAGGTTGAATAATGGGGAAGAAAGGAGAATTCCACTCCTTCCTCAGGCCTGCCCACCCCCACCCGCCTTACACCCAGTCCTCCCTTCCCTCTAACGATGTCCGGGAGACGATCCCCCCACCCACCAGCAACCCACCCCCCTCGCTGCTGCTTATCCGGTGGCACCTCAAGTGTGTTCGGGCTGCTGCTGCAGGATCAGGCTGAGGGGAGTCCCCCCCGCCCCCATTACAGTCTCCTTGCTTCTATTCTCCGCACTTCGTCTCCCCCCGAATCTCCTCCCCTCTCTTCTGTTTACATCACCACCCACTCACTTTTCTGGCTGAACCTACTTGGCTTCCATTTAAGGTTTCAGTATGGGGTTGGGAGCTGAAGGAAGGGTGTTGCCCTCCCGGGGAGTTGCTGGGCCACCAGCAGGGTGTTGGGCCACCAGCAGGGTGTTGGGCCACCAGCAGATGTCTACGCCCACCCGCCTACCGAGCTGTTGACTCGGTCAATTCCATCTCCTGGGAGAGGCCACCTGACCTATTTTCTCTCCCGGATTCCTGGGGGTGGGGGTTGTTGGAGCTAGAGCCCGGGGCCAGATGAGTATAGACGAACCAGATTCAGGAAACCAGCAGATAGGAGTTGCCTCGAGGCTCCCCTAGGGATCTATTTGCTTTTGTTGGATGTGTGTGTCTAAAATATATTTGGAGTTTAAGTGTGACAGCTAGAGACCTCACCGTCAGCGAGTAAGGAAAAGGAACCATCCGCTTCTTGCACCATCAGCTTTCCCTGCACAGGTAGAGGGGAACCCAAGGTCAGAAATACTACTAAGGATGATGATAAAAAGAGTTCCCCGGGACCCAAAGAAGCTGCCCAAAAGTTTGCAATACAGGTTACCTGCTGCAACTGTGTAAAACAGCAACAGAAAACCCGGCAAGAAGAGCCAATGCCGGAGCACCTTCTTTAAAGGTGCACCTGGCCCAGTTGGAGGCTCCAAGGCTCACGGTTGCCTCCCACTAGCTCCCAACGGCTGCTGAGCGGTTGGAGGACTCTTGGCTCCGGGCCCCTCTCGCCGAAGCAGCTGAGAAGCGGCAGCCTTGGCTGCCACCCAGCGGCTCCGTCTGTAACCTTCCTGCCCAGTGTGACTCGCACCAGATCTTAGCAGCTGCAAAGAGCAGGCTCAGGCTGCCCCTGAGAAGCCAGCCCCGCCACCAGCCACCAGGGACTCGGTGGGGGAGGCGGTGGTGGGACTTGGGGCCCGAGGGGCCAGCACTGGTGGCAACCTAGTGCTTTTGAGCAGAAGAAGGAAGCCAAGTTCCGAGAACAAGCCCGGCCACAGAATTGTAACCGGATGAATCCATACAGTAATTTCGCTTGTGTCTGTGTCACGGAGGCCTCCCTGTGGGGTTAGACAAGCCGATCCCCGGCTTTCTGCTTCCTAAAATGTAGCCGGAACCAAGGTCGAGGTTCCAAAACCAAGTGATCCCTCTTTCCTTTTTTGCCACCCACCCCCACCCCGCCCCCAAGCCCAAGCAATTATACAGCAGCATCCAGAAAGACGTGGGTGGAGATTATCCTTTATTCATTTTCACTTTGAAGAGAAAAGCCACAGCACGAAGATGGTGCCAACACGCCAGGCATCAGAATGACCCCTGCACATGCAGGACACTGATGGGCACTCACTGTGGGATCTGGGGACGGACAGGTGTGCCCCGCGGTGACAATGTGTGCGCAGCTACAAAAACCCCCTTATTCTTCCCTAGTTTTTAAATTTCAAGATACCCCACCCCGCCCACCCCAGTTAGCCTTGTCATTCTCAGTTGGATCTCCTAGCAAACTGGACTTTTACTCTTGTGGGCCCAGAGTACCCCCCCACCCCCAAACACTAAGCATGCATGCCCTAGAGGTACAGGGAAATGGACACAGGACGCTGGAACACGGAGAGATGGCCTGTTTCACTTCTTGTCATCCTCCAGCTGGGGAGAAAGGCTGCCCGCCGACCTCCCAATGAGTGGTGGAAGGGCGTGGAGGCCTCACCACCTTCCCAGCTCCCCGGGGCCCACGACACTCCATGTGGCCCGCTGCTCACACCCTAGCCCTGCCTGATTTTTAAACCAAACTTTCTCTTGGGGAAAAAGACATTTGGGAGCTAGCCAATGCAGGGCCCTAAATGATCATTGAAAACAAAATTTCTTTCTTGCTCAGTTTCTGTTCAACTCCATCCTGCTCTCCCAAAGGGGGTTTCTGACCCCTGAAGCCCTCAGCCTGGCTTGGAGCCTTCGCAGAAATGTGTGGGCCCCGTGGAAGGTGTTTGGTGGCAGCAGCCCCTCACCGCCCAGCCCCCCTGCATTCTCCCAGTGCGGTCTTGGGTTTTTATCATCCCTCCCCGTGGGCTGCTGTGGTTTCCAGACTCGGAGGTGCCCGGGGTGGCTGGGAGGCGTCAGGTGCACACGCTTTCTTCTGTCCTCTCCTCATCGTGGCTGACGGCGCGGAGCTGCCCCTGCGCCGCGGGCTTCACCGACAGGACCAAGCGTTTGCGGAATGTCTCACAGAGCACGATGTACACGAAGGGGTTGAGGCAGCTGTTGGCATAGCCCAAGCTGATGGCCGCGTTGTACAGGTAGGCGAAGGTGAGCGTTGGGCGGCTGATGGACAGCTGGGTCAGCTGTAGCACGTAGTAGGGCGCCCAGCATACGAAGAAGACCAGGCAGATGGCAATGGCCGTGCGGGTCACCCTCCTGGTCCGCAGCCGGATGCTGCGTTGAGAGACGGGAGCCACGGAGGACGTCATGCGCTGTAGGATCCTCACGTACGCAGCCGTGATGACCACAAAGGGCAAGGCAAAGGCCAGGAAAAACTGGTACAGGGTGAACCAGTAGAGGTCAGTGTCCGGGTTGGGCAGGCGGATGCCACAGCCCACGGCGCCCCCCGGGAAGGGGATGAGCCTGGCGTAGAGCCACACGGGGGTGATGCTGATGAAGGAGAGGGCCCACAGGAGGCAGATCACTAGGGTGGCCACAGAAGGCTTGCGGAACTTGGTGGAGGAGATGGGGTGGACAGTGGCCAGGTAGCGGTCGATGGCCATGGCGGTCAGGATGTAGGTGCTGGTGAACTGACTGTTGGCGTCCATGGCCGTGATGAGGGTGCACATGGTCTCCCCAAAGTGCCAGACGCCATTGCCCAGGAGCTGGTGGATCATGAAGGGCATGCCCAGGAGGAAGAGGAGGTCCACCACCGAGAGGTTGATGATGAAGATGTCGGGGACGTTGCTGCACCAGTGCAGCTTGGACTTCTTCACCACGGCGAAGATGACGGTGGAGTTCCCCACGATGCCCAGGAGGCAGATGATGCCGAACACCGAAGGCATGATGATGTTGATGTAGGAGGCACTCCCTGTGCGAGGACGCGGCCCTGGGGACGGAAGGAGCAGCGTCAGTGGCTAGACACGGCCTGTGCCCTCTGCGGGCTGACATCCCGCTGGCGCACTCAGCCTCCCGCGACGTGCTTGCGTGCTGCTTCATCCTCTGTGCCGTTCCAGCTCCGCACCCACCCGGCACCTGGAATTCCCTCCCACCATTCCCCCTCCCCACACCGGTGCCAGCCCATCCTGTCCCCTTGCCCTCTTCCACCGGCTCCCTGGTCAGTCCTACTAGACTGTCACACACCCCCTGTTAGTCAAAGGACCCAGGCCTTTGCCTCCTGCATGGTTTCGGAGGACACAGAGTCAACCACCACGGCGGTCTGCAAAGAATTACTGGGGGCCCCAGGCTTCACCAGGAACCCTCATCAAACTAGCCAGAAGGACAGGAGAGAGAGTGTGTGTGCACGCGCCTGTGTGGGCGTGTGCACGTACTTGCCCTTCCCTGCTTGCAGCCCTGATCATTTCACGTTAGACGTTGCTGGTGGGAGCCGTGCACCGCTTTCTGGGCATCTCTGCGGGCCACCGTCCCGTGGAGGCCTCCGCCCACGAGGCCTGCAGCCCTGACCTCTCCTGGGCTGCTCTCAGGGATTTCCTGGGGCCCCCACCTTCTGCGCCCGAGCTTCCCTGGTGAGCAGAAACTGAAGCTGCTGTGCTGCAGCCCAGCCCCTGAGAATTCTCTTCACAAAAACCTTTCTTCTTTTTCCTTCCTTTCCTGCTTCCTCCTAAAGCTCGAATTCCAGGGCATCTCAGCTCTGGAACCGTCAGGCAGTTCCGTTCATCAGGAAAGTTAATCCCTGAGAGTTACCCCTTCCAGGACCTTCCCCGGGGGCAGCCGGGGTGGTCCAGATCCTTTCCTGTAGCTGGAGCCAAAAGCCAAGGGCATCGGTGAAGGAGGGAGCCTCCAGCTGCCTCCTCACATGCTATCCTCCAGCTTCTCTTGCTGGCTTTTCCAGCCTGGGATTTTTCCTGCAAAGCATATTTGAAACTCATCATTGAGCCTTCACCGCTAGCCACCATCCTTGCCAATTCTTTTTTTCTTTTTTTTTTTAATTTGAGCCAAACTGACAATGGCGGGGGAACAAGCTCTCCACTGCTCCCCCTTGTCACTTCTGAACGTGCCTGTGCTCCAACCCCCTGGGCTCCTGCCTGCCCCGCCCCCTTCTCCCCTTCCCTCTGCAAGCAAAGCAGACTGCAGGTCTTCTCCCCGAGAACTGCAATAAAGTTTCCCGGGCAGTTCGGTTCAGAGGTGAGACCTTCCCATTTCCCACCCCCAGCTCCGGGGAGGGACACACTCACCAGCCAAGGTGAGGTTATTGGGGCCGCCCGAGGTGTTGCTGGCACTGGGGTCAGTGGGCAGCGGCGAGGCTTGCGGGTCCATCCCGCCAGTGCCTGTCGCCTGCTGGCCCGTCCGCCCACGCAGGCTGCCGCAGCCTCCGACGCCTGCCTCCCTGTCCTGGAGCACCGGCCCCGCAGTCCCGAAGGGGGTCTTCCGGGGCAGCCGGGCAGCCTCCGCTGCCTCCAAGCCCCACCGCTCTTCCCACTCCCTCCTTCCCGGTTCCCACTGACATCACCTAGACACATTAACATTCGGAGGCAGATAGATGAACATTAACCTCTTCAGTCCCGTGCTGCAGCTCCCGCTCCTGACTGCCTGCAGAGGCAGGGTCCAGGGCCACCCCAGCAGGGAGGGGCTGCCTTCCCCCTGGCCCAGGGGGGCTGCGTCTCCTGTGCTCACAGGGAGTGTCGCCGTCTTCACGTGAGGTGTCTGCAAAGGCCAGCGGGCTGACTCCCACTGGAGGAAAGACAGAGCCCGGCCTGGCCTGCGCCCTAACCCCAGGTCCGGGTGGCTGGGCCAGCTGGCCACCCTCAGCCCCTGCCTGGGGGCCCATGGATCCCAACCACCTTGCTGGTGAGACTGCCAGTGTCCTTTCGAAACTGAGGAAGGAGTCCCTGGCTGCGGAGCCTTTGACCGGTGCTCAGAGGTGACAGGGCACTCCGTGCTGGTGATGGCCAGAGTCTCAGGGACCAGAAGGGGATAAACTGTCTGCAAAGGATCAGCATCGACTAGACTCACTGAGCTTTTATTTTTCTAAATGCTCTGCAGTCCTTGGGGTTTTTTTTACCTGGGATTCCTCCAGACAAATTTCAGAGCCTCGACCCCCCAAAGAGATCGTCAACCTGGAGCAGCCTTAGAGGGCAAAGCATGGAGCGAATTCTCTGCAGAGGCGCCCAGTGGCCGGCCCTCGGGGCCCCTCCTGGCCAAGAGCTGCCGCCACACGCACTGCCCAGACTCAGGAGCTGGGGCTTCGGGGTAACCGTAGTTGGACCCCTACACACTTCTCCAGTCTTCCTTACTCACTTGCTTCATCCAACAAATATGTATCGAGTGCTTACCACTTGCCAACCACTGTTCTAGGTTCTGTGGTGAAACAAACAAACAAACAAACAAACAAAAAACAATAAAGTCCCGGAGACCCTGTCCTCATGGAGATTACGTTCAAATCGGGGAGGAGACAGAAGGCATACCCAAAAATGAAAAAGACGAGTTAGGTTATTGGTGCTCAGTGCTATGACAAGTGCAAAGCAGGGTGAGTGGCCCGCGGAACAGCAGGGTGGAGCAGGTGGCCGTTTTACACAGGAAGGCCTCCCTGAGCAGTGTTTCCAGAAGCGTCCTGAAGGAAGTGAAGGGCATCTTTGGAAACATCTGGAGGAAAATACTCTTGGCAGTAGGACTGGCCAGTGCAAAGTCCCTGCGGCAGGAGCGCGCCGGGCGACCGTGAAGACCAGTGAGCGTGGCTCTCGGGGAGCAGAGGGAGGGTTAGCAGGAGGTGACGTGGGAGAGGAGCGAGAGGGAAGGCTGGGCTCTGTGGGCCCTGGTCAGCCACTGTCGGGACTTCGGCTTTTCCTTCGGGGGAAATGGGAGTCAGTGGGGGCTTTCAGCTGAGCAGGGAGACGATCACGCGTGTTTTAAGAAGATCAGTCTGCTTCTTGGTAGCAATCGAAACAAAGTGAGACTGTATTTTAGTGTGGGTTCCTTTGAAAGCAGAGGCTGAGACAAGGACTCATGTCCACAGGGCTTTTCTGCCAGAGGACCCCAAGGGCAGGCATGAGGGAGTGGGGGCGATGAGACAGGAAAGAAGAAAAAGTCGACGTAAGGGTGCGTTATCGGTGTTCCTGCTGTGGACATCAGGAGTTCAAGGTTGCTGGGGTCCTTGAACAGCGCACAGGCCGGACCCTAGAATCACCCCCCTGAAGGGTAGGAGGCAGGGACATTTCCCCAGCTGGCCCATCCCCCAGGGGTTGAAGGTTGCTCCTGAGGCATTAACTCTGCGCATCTGGGTTCCTGGGCAGAGCAGGTCTGATAGGATCAAGAGTCAATGGGGCCAAAAGCAGAGAGCTGTGCAGCTCACGCTGGAGGCAGGAGGCTGTCAACACAAGTGAATGCTGTGCTGGGGCCGAGAGGGCCGGGCGGCGTTGAAGTCTGGGGCAGGAAGCAGACAGGCACGAGGTGCGCACTCGAGACAAGACACTGCTGGCCCGAGATCGGCTGAGCTCACCCACAGCTGCCTGCCGCAGCGGACGCTGGCGTCAGAGGTGGCCGAGAAAAACCTGACTGGGAACCTGAGACATCCCAGAAACATCCAGTATAGAAGACTGTTGCAATAATCCAGCTGAAAGATGATGGTATCTTAGATCGGGGAGGCAGAGGTGGGGAGAAATGGTGGGTTTCTAGACACGTAGAGCCCAGAGCATTTGCTGAAGAGCTGGACAAGAAACGTGCGAGAGAAAGAGGCATCAGGAATGACCCCCGCGTGTGGGGCCCAAAGGACGGGAAGAATGGAGTTGTCGTTTACTGAGATGGAGGAGTCTGTGGGAAAGGAAGACTGAGAGGAGAAATTAAGAATTCTGTTCGTGTACGTGACATTTGAGACGCCTGTTACACCAGGGAGGAAACTTTGGGTGATAATTGGGTGAGTCAGAAGTTCAAAGGGGAGGTCGTGCCTGAGGACATCAAGTTAAACGATGACACTGATGACACCGGATGAACTCATTCATCTAGGGAGCGAGGGCGAACAGGGAAGAGTTGTGAGGACCTAGAGCGGGCGCATTCCAGAGTTTGCAGGTTGGGAAGCTGAGCCTTATGGCCCACCCTTTCCTCCTCTTCCACCTGCCATGGTGTTCTCACCTCCACCCCCCCCTTCCAGTCTCTTGAGCCCCTGCTGTGGTGTGTACCAGGTTCTCTAGGCTCTGTAGATACACTGATGAAAACCAAGTGCCAGGTATCAAGGAGCTTACGGTAAAGTGGGGAGAGAGATAGTAACAAGCGAGTTAACAGGGGAAGCTGTCCCGTTCAAGGTGTAGATCCAGACAAATCCGGGTAACTTGATCACAAAGCGTGGCTCTGGAGTGATGCCACCCCTGCTGTCACCTGCACTCTGTCTGACTGACAGCAGCAAGGGACCCGGGAAGGGTGGGTTTCAGCTTTCTGGCCTTTGCGTGCTCAGCGGTGGTGGGGGTGGGTGGGGGAGGATGACCACTGAGCCAGTCAACCCAGGACGGCAGCCACCAGGCGGATTTCTCCTTGTGGCAGGCGGCACGCAGGGAATGAATGGGGGGATGGGAGTGCCTGGGGCCTTCTGGAGAGGAGAGTCAAGGATGTCCTCTTTGAGGAAGCGTTCGGGTGGAAGCCTCAGCATCCACTCCACTCCAAATGATTCATTTAAACCAATCACGTCGTTGCCCTTGCCAGGGACGGTCTCCGGATTGGGCACGTCTCCTGGATGCCTGTGCACACCTCGTCCAAGCCCGTCGTCCACACCTAGTTTACATGCCACCTATTGCTGCGGTGACCCACTCCGCGCAGCCGCCGACCAAGTTCAGGTACAGGAACAGGTTCAGGTATGACCCGGAGGGGCTGCGTCTCAGGCCTGCACCCTGTGCCTTTTACCCCCTGTCCTGGATCCTCTCTGTTGTCGCCGTCACAACTGGGAATAGGGGGGCCCATGAAATGTGCGTGTGCGAGCAGCCCAGAAGTGCAGGGCTGGTTAACACCCCTTAGGGTGAACTTTTGACCCATGAGGGGTGAAGCCACCAAGAGATGCTTTTTCCTTTTTTCCCCAGGGCAAATGGTCCTAGGACACTTCCCATGTGACTTTTCAGTAGTCCCACGGGATAGAGTGACCAGTCACTTGCAGGGGTGGACAACTCCAAAGCCTTACATGGTGCTCCCAGCTGCTTTGCTTTGCTCCTTAATCCTCACTCGTGATTCCCAGAACCACACGTCCGGGTGAAATACCCAAACACACCTTTGCCTCGGCTCTGTTTCCTGGGAACCCAAGTCTAAGGCAGTGCGTGACCCATTCCCAGTGACAGCCAGGGGGACAGCCAAGGGGAGTAGCGTTGGGGTGGAAGGCCTTTGGCAATCTTTTCCTTGTTCTTACAAAGAGGACACAGGAAGAGCTGGTCTCCTTTGCCTCCTCTGAACTTAGCTGCGCCTGGACCTGATGACGTGATGCCTGGAACACTTGCAGCCATTTCTAATACTTGCGGCAGGTGAAAATATCCCCACCGACTGAATCAGTCGTCGTGTCCTGAGAACACAGAACACACTCGAAAGGGGAAGCAGAGGAGTGTTTGGGGAAGGGCCTATTTGCCAAGGTTGAGGCATGGTTAAGGGAAATGAGAAGGAGGGTCCCCTAGGGCTACCAACTCTTCAGCCCGAGGCCCCAGAGCAAGGGAGCTGTCTCAGCAGCCGTGGCATTGTGTGAAGGACACAACTGGCAGGGATGGAACCAGAGGAAGAAGTAAGCTGGCCTCACTCTCCTTGTGCCTTCTTGTCTCTGCCTGAAGGTGCTGTCCTTAAGGGTCAGCCTCCAGGGGCCCCGAACAAGGTGGACAAAGGTGGAAAGTGGATTTTGAAGGTGCAAATGGAAAATCAGTCCACTGACCCAGGGGGACGCATTAGAACCAAGCCAAGGTATTTAATGCACATTATTTTGCTATTAATCCTTGAAACAACTAGATACTTAAGGAGCCTCCTCTTTTAAAAAATATTGTATTTATTTTTAGAGGGAAGAAGGGAGGGGGAAAGAGAGGGAGAGAAACATCCATGTGTGGTTGCCTCTTGCGCGTCCCCCTCCAGGGGACCCAGCCCACAGTCCAGGCATGTGTCCTGACTGGGAATCAAACGGGTGACCCTTCGGTTCGCAGACCGGCGCTCGATCCACCGAGCCACACCAGCCAGCGCTAAGGAGCCTCCTTTGACTGGGTGGGTCTTCTGGGAGCAGACCCTGGACCAGCAGAGGCATGTGAAATGTGCACTGTGGGGTGACCTCTGGGAAAGGAGGAAGGACATGCATTGGGAGGGGGGACCATAGATGGGATGGTGATGCGGGGCCCGAGAAGGGCCCTGCAGCCTTGGGGGAAGTCCTGGGCACAGCAGGGCCATGGTGAGTGGAAATGGCAAGGCCTTCGCCTACCTTCCCAGTGGGTGGCCCGGAACCGCTCAAAGAGCATGAGCCTAGCTGGA